TTTTGATGCTGGGATTGAACCAAGGACTCCTGCGTGCTAGGCGCATGCTGTATCACAGAGCACTGCCCTCAGCCCTTGCATGATTTGTAAGTGTACAGGACAAAACATGGAGATCCCTTGAGTTAAACTTAAAAATATATTTATCCTGTGTATATTTATATGCTGTGTGGATTGAAGAGTAATTTATATACCTTGTTGGTAACTTATTAATTAAGCAGAAAATTAAGATGTTCTTAAAGTTTAATCTACTATATTAATTGTTAAGAAATTATCTTAAGAAAATCACGTGTATAACATTTCACGCATAAAGATTTTCACTGCAAGATTATATACCCTGAGTGTTATCATGCACATATATATGTGTGTGTCTGCAGTACACATGCACACAATTTTTACTAGAACATGAGTGTAACTACAAATATTGTATATTATTATCCTTTATCTCTAAACCATGTATTTCATAAGAATAGAATGCTTAAATTTTTCATGAATTTAGTTTGATAATTTGTCTAATCAACTGTTTATACTCCACTTTTGTTGACTGACTGAGTAATACCCACAAAGGGTTTCCTTCTCCTTCCAGCACAGGTCCAGTTTGTGGCTCGGTACTGCACTTGGCTATCAGGTCTCTTTCACTTTTTATTGTATTTTATGCCTATGATGGTTCTGCTTAGCTGACTTTTCAAAACTAGGATGATGATCTTGTGCTTTCCCCCATTTCTATGTGTTTTGGTGATGGTGACTGCTTCCCGTGATGCCCACCAAGTCCCTCCTAAGCAATGTTACTTTGGATCACCCAGTAAATGTGCTTTCCGAACTCCCTAGTGGATAAGCACTGAATGTCCCCCTACTTGTAATGAACAAAGAATAAGTGAATAAGTGTCTTCATCAAAGTGACTCTTCATGACCTTTAAAGACAATATCTACTGATGATTCTTGCCTGACCCAGTCTTTACCATGATTATAATATGCTGACATCAATGCTACTGTAACTCCAGGGCTCCTGGAAGAGCTGTCCCTTCCCCCGACCTGTCTGTCTCTATGAGTAGGGGCCCATGAATTCCTGTCTTAGGAGTTATGCTTACATTATTACACAGTGTTAGTCACCTTTCCATTACTGAGACAAAATACCCAACACACACAATTTAAAAGAAGAAAGGTTTCCTTCAGGTCACAGTCCCAGAGGGTTTGGTCCATGGCTATCTGGCTCTGAAGCAGGAACATCATGGAGGAAAAGCCACTCACCTTGCAGCAATCAAGGATCAGAGAGAGGAGAAGGGACTGGGGACAAGATACGCCCTTCGCTGTATGGCCCAGTGACCTGCTTGCTCCAGCTGGGCCTCATCTCATAATAGCCCTTTCAGCTATGAACTCATCAATGGGTTAATTCATTGATGAGTTCAGTAATCATGATCCAACCTGAATGTCCCACCTGTGAGCACATGAGACTCTGGGGGAGACTTTTAGACCTAAACCTGAACATACTTAAGTATTTTAGTATTGAAATTGTCCCAGATTTGGCAGGTAGAGACATCTTCAGCTAGATTTTGTGTTTCTTGTGATAGTTCCCTTTCAACTCCTTTCCTTCCTTCCTTCCTTCCTTCCTTCCTTCCTTCCTTCCTTCCTTCCTTTCCTTCCATCCTTCCTTCCTTTTCTTTTCTTTTCTTTTTATTTTAGCACCACCTTGATTTCTGAAACAATGAAATGTTCCAATCCATCTTCTGCCTTCCCTGTTCTGTCTCAGTTGCTTTCTTGTTGCTGGAGTACAATATATGCAACACCCACAACTTAAAGGAAGAAAGGTTTGTTTTGGCTCACAATCTGTAGTTATTTCGATCCGCAGTAGGCTGATACCAAGGCAAGGTGGCACGGCAGGTGGGCATGGCAGAGGAGGCTTGGTTATGGCAGGGCAGCAGAAAGCTGAGCGAAGAATCTAGAGAGGTAGGAGGGAGACAGACTCACCTAGCCCGTGTGGCCAGTGGCTCACCTCCTCCAACCAGGCTTCACCTTCCAGCACCACATTTAGCTGTAAACTCATGGGCGGATTAATCACTCTTAGTCACTGCCATCACTGTTCTCTTGCTTGGTGGCTGTTCTGTGAGGTAGGTAAGGCAAGGATCAGCTGAGTGGAGTTTTGCTCTCCAGTTTTTAAGGCTAATTGTTTTACAGCTCAGTCTTGTTTGGGGGGAAAGAGGTTTTTAGAGGTGTATATTTTGGATACATTCATAGAAAAACAGTTGAAGGGTCAAAGGGTAAATACATGTGTGCAGTTCTCCTGCAAAAGCCATGGCTAGTTTGCAGCCCCTCCCCCAACTAACAACAGTGTTGTGTTGCTAATATGTTTTATTATCAGGCATCCACTGTGGCCTTACTGCTGAATGACAAGTGTCATCACAGTGTGGCCTTAGATTGCATTGATCACAGCAAAGCTGAACACCTTTCCATTTGCTAAGGTCATCTTATAAATCTTTTTATAAATTGTACAGATCTTTGGCCAATGTTTCTGTAGCATTGTTGGCCCTTTGTTTCTTTTTTTTTTTTTAATTTAATTCAGATTACAAAACTTGAGATGCACACCTAACATATAACCTTCTTATATTATTTAACTACTAATAAAGTTTCTTTTCAGGGCATCAGCACATCTAAGTTGGAATTATCTAAATAAACTTCTAGTGCCATTCTTAAAGTATTATAAATAGACTATACTGAGAATAAACTTAAACATTACTTTTTTAGGACTAATGATAAACGATGAGGTAGAATGGTTTCAGCAGATTTCCTAGCCCTAGACCCCTAAATTAAGTTTGCACTGACTTTAAATACTGGTGGCTTTTTAGGGATGAGAGATCTGTGTTGCTGAGTGCCCACTCTTTAATACAAAGACTTATGTTTACTTTGTTAAATGGTTCAATCTCACTAACATGTAAACACTTAGCAGACCCTTAATAAAAGACCAATTTGTAAAACTGGGCCACTTTAATATTTTTACAAGGTAAGAAATAGTTCTCTTGATGAATGCAGTCGTGAGAGTGGTTCGGCAGTATTCAAGTTATGGTTTTCCTGACTGGGCTGTAGTCTTCAATAAGTGTAAGAAGTTATTGTATGAAGTGTCTGTGAGACTAGTAAGATTGCACTGACGCGTCCATCATTTGCAGGGTTGCTGGTCACCTGGGCATATTTACCCCAGATAACCTTCCCGCCTTGTGTCACAAGGCCCAACTCGCTCATGTTCACCTCAATCACTAGTCCTTTGGAAACAACACCCAAACTTGTATGCAGTGGCGATGAAGGATTCTTTTTTACACCAAGTATTGGCAGGCAAAAGGTGGCTTTCAGTCCAGGATGTGTTACATGGGCTTTCTTAAAGCGTAAGCCCACTAGCCTAATGAATCTTTCATATTTAGGTGGTTTTCTTGTAAAGCCATCTCCAACAAAGAAGACTTTAGTAACCATCCTCTTCCATGCCTTCTTTTTTCTCTTTCCAGTTCAAATAACTTTTAATACTTCTGTTTCTCCTTGGGCATGAACTTTGGGCAGAGGAACTTCCCATTTTCCTGCCTTTTCTTTTTGTTTTGTTTAATCATGTTGAAAAATACTTTTGCACGAGACTGTCCTCTACCTAGCAGGTACGCAGGTCCTGCTCCTTGTAGAGTATTTTCATCATTCTTTTGTTTGGTGTTTCTCTTTTCATGCATCTTGATAGTCTTCTTCATTTGTATTTTCTCCTCATGGCGTTGTCTGTGGTAGAGCTCAGCCTTCAGGTCAATCTTTTTTTTTTTTTTTTTTTTTTTTTTTTTTTTTTTTTTGCCTTATTTGAATGTTCATAAGCCTCTCAACTTCCCTTTTTTCTCTTTTTCTTATAGTAATCCAAGCGGTACCCATAGCATTTACGGTGTGATTCAACATATTCATTCTGTGGCATGATGACAGCTGCAGAGCTGTCACAGCAGCCTCAGGTGTGCGAAGAAAAGTCCTACCTTTGAGGTCTCCCAGACACCTGTTGCTTTGATTTTTAAAAGCTCTATATAAATTTGGTAGAGTAGTTTTTTGTCTGTGGTATATGTTGAGTTGTTTGGTTTTTTTTCATTTTGTCATTTGATTTTTCATTGTGCATATGGTGGATTTTATTCTATGCAAAAAATGTTTTCATTTTACTGCCATGTAGTCAGATATGCTGATCTTTTCTTATTCCTCTATTCAGAGGTGTAATTTGACAGACGCCCTATACTGACTCCTCCCAAGTGACTGAGGTTTCATCAGCAGCTTTTATCCCCACTTCCCTGCACAAGAGCCCCATTCCAAGGAGGTCAGATCTTGCGGGGATTCGATCTTAGGTATCCTCCTTCCTCCTTAGTTGTTTCTAAGAGGCCAGGCCTTGTGAGGAGGAGGAGGAGGAGGAGGAGGAGGAGGAAACCTTCTGAATGAGAAAACGCACTGTCACTTAGGTCTCTTTTGGGGACCACAGGATCCCAGGGAACAAGCTCCGCACTGGCCTGCCCCTGGGCTCCCTTTGACACCTGTTGGGTCTGGAGTTTGGCAGTATGGCTGGGCTCTCTGCCCACCTCGTGTCCCACCCACTTCCTCCTCTTCACACCTCCCCCAGCTGGATGCAGAGTGTCTGTGGGACCGTGCTGAACCCAAGTCCACCTCAACTCTGCTTCTGTTGCCATGTGTCGGGGCATGAGAGGACACTGAGCCAGATCAGTCAGCCAGCTCTTGTTGCCCCACCCCCGGGGCCTGAGGGAGATGCAGATAGAATAGCTGGCAGTGCTGGCCTGTGTGTCTCCCCCAGCTGGGGTTGGGGAGATGAAAGCAGAGCGGTGGGACATCCTTAAGGCTCATCTCCACCCCCTTCTATTCAGCTTGAACACCTGGAGCTCAGATGGACTGGTTCAGACCTGGGCCAGGGTGGGCACCAGGTGTGGGGACTGGCACTGGTGCATCAGCTGGAGAGGGTCCAATGTGGCGCAGGGCCGCTGACAGTACTGCCTCCACTGCAGTGAGGTCAGCTGGTGGCGACGGGGATGCACTGTGCGTTACCGAAGAGGAACTGGCTGGTGAAGACGAGGACATGCCGTCCTTCCCGGGCACGCAGGAGGGTAAGGACTCCAAGACCACCCCTGCCTCCTTTTGGGGCTGAAAGCTCCCTGCTCATCTGCAGGTGGAGTAGAGACTTGGGTTACCATGTGGCTTCAGATTCTAGGCTCTTAGCTCCCAGCAGCTTCTGGAGAGGGAAGCAGTATAATATGGATCATGCCAAGCTTTGACAGAAGCGCTGTGTCTGCAGGGCAATCTGGAAGGGCCTCGGCCCTCTCCCCCAGCCAGGTACTGTGTGCCTAGGGCCTGTCTCCTAGCTGCCCTTACTTTGGTCTAGAGGGTGAGCTGGGCACCAGGGTTTTTAGCTGTTTCCAGTGCTCCTCGGGTGTAGCTGAGGCCCAGTTCACATAAGGAATTTCACAGTCAGGGCCACCACTGCATTCCCGTTGGCCACTGGTCACCTGCCAGAGTTTCCAGGAATACTGGCTCCCTCCTCCCTCCATGGCCTGGCTGCTGAACTGTATCCAGGTGCTTGGTGTCCAGGAAAAGTTACCTGCCCAGTTTGGGGACTGGTGTCTAGCTTTCAGTTTACCTTCTGGAGGTTCCCCCAGAGTGGAGGACTTTTAGTTTTAACATGGAATCTCTACAAACCACCCTGTTTTACCCCTACTGAGAAGTCCCCAGGATAGGAGAGTTGTAGCACTAAAGTCTAGAAAAATCTGGGCAAATCAGAACAAGCTGTCACCCAGCGAGGCTGCCATGTTGTGGGTCATCAATTGGGCCACTGCAGAGAAGAGAGGTTTCTTCACCCCATGGGACAAATGATGAGAATGACCATGGTGGAAGGCAGAGGTTTATGATTTTTGGGATTTGTTTTTGTTTTTGAAGTGCTGGGGATTAAACCCAGGGCCTTCCCATTGAACTATATCCCCAGAACTGTTTATTTTTTATTTTTAAATAAGGCCTGCATAAGTCGCTAAATTACCTGGGGTTGGCTTGCAATCCTCCTGACTCAGCCTCCCAGAATGTTGGGATCACAGGTGTGCACCACCACAACCAGCTAGGGGTTGTCACCTCCTTTCCAGTTGTTTTAAGACCTTGAGAAAGGAGGTGAGATGGGTAGGGAATGACAGTGGTGCTCCTGAGATGAAATGATCCAGCCCTCCCCTCTGGCCTAAACATCTGCTCTCCTGCCCCCCGCAGGCCAGCCAGGGCCCCGCTGCAGCCGCTGCCAGAAGAACCTGTCTCTGCACACGTCGGTGCGGATTCTGTACCTCTTCCTGGCTCTGCTCCTGGTGGCTGTGGCCGTGCTGGCCTCTCTGGGTGAGTCCAGGGCTCTGCTCAGACGGCAAAGGATTGTCTGCCCAGGGCCCTGTCCCTAAACTCCCTGTACCCGGAACCCAGAACCAGCATTTGTCCTGCTAGAAATCTTCACCACTAATCCACACTGAGAAGACTGGCTCCAGATTTCTAGGCAAGAATGAGCCATGTGGCCTTGCATGAGGCCACCCCCTAGCAGGGCTCCTGATGCCCACAGGTAAACTGAGGCAATGGGAGAAGACGGGCAGTCCTCGGTTTTAGTTCCAAATGAGAGTCCCTGGAGAACTTTAGAAACTATTGACGTCTGAGCCCCACCTGAGTGAAGGAAGTAATTCATGCCCAGTCCCCGGCTCTGCAGATGATTCCAATGTGTATCCAAGGCCCCAGTGACCAGGTCAGGTGACTCTTAAGCCCCTTCTGTGGCCCATGTGTTTCTCAAAGTGAGGTTGGATCCTCATGTGCATCCAGGGCACCCCTAGTATTCACTAAAATGCAAAATTCTGGGTGTCATGGAGACTTCTGGAATCTAAACCCTGCATGCAAGGCCAGGGAACTCGTTTGGTGCTTCTCCTGCATACTGCAATTTCTGTCACTGTGGTAGCGACCAGGGGACAGCATATGGCCAAGTTCAGGTAAGCTCACAGCGATGGCAAATTGATTAAAGTGAGCAGGTGATGTCTCCCTCAAATTGAGCTCCACACTTTCATTCTATAGATGAGATTAGCTCTGCACAGTTCAATTGATTTGGCGACAGTCATCCAACAAATTGATACCAATCTGGGTCTAAAGGCTGTGGTACCTCGCTCTGTGGCAGTGCAAATTCCGTGCCACCACAATTGACTTCAGAGGAGTGGTGGGAAACACTGCCAACCTTCCTTCCAACCTCTGGCCTCTTGTCTCTGCCAGTCCCCTTCAGCACCTCTTGTGCTGGGGTGTGCCCTGCCCAACACCATGCCCTCAGGAGGGCTCCATGCTGCCATTGTACAAAACACTCTATAAGCTTCTCTGGAGGGCAATTTGGCAACTTGTATGGAGGACCTCACAAGTGCTAATGTCTTTTGACCCGGTAATTCTTGCAACTTATCTAAAGAGAACACACAAACATTATATAAAAGGAATTGTTCTGGGGTCAAGAATTGTTCATGTTTACATGTCAGATTTTATTTATAAGTTAAGAAGAGGTGACAATAGTACAGGATTTTTAATGTCTTTATTGTACCATTTATATAGATACAGTGCAGATACAGAATTCAATGGCTTAAAAAGGGGCTTAGGCCTTGATGGAAAAATGTCCTTAACACAGAATAAAACCAAATAAGAGAAAATAAATGAGATATTCAGAATATCCAAGTTCTTTTCTCTAAAACAGTATATCTATGTAAATGTAGAATGTATGTAAACTTAATAATGACTAGAAGAAATTCCCAAAGGTATTGATGGGAGTGATCTTTGGGTGGCAGGACTAAAAATATTTTTTATTTTATCTTGTAGATTTTTTTCTGTATTTTCTCTATCCTTTCTTATGTTCAAGTCCAATTTCTAAAACCTCGGGAGAGAGGCATATTATTATTTTTTAAGATGTGCCAGATGCTGGTCATAAGAAGCACCTTCCCTTTCCATTTTCAGTAAGCCTCTGCAGAGAAGGGTGAGGGCTATAGTTACAGAGAACTGATAAAAATGCTTTCTCAACAGCCTGCGTGGGGAGGTTTGTTTCTCTGAACCAAAGCTCTGACACAACTTCTCATCTTTCCCTGCAGTTTTCAGGAAGGTAGACTCTCTCTCAGAAGACATCTCGTTGGCCCAGTCCATGTACAACAAGAAGCTCATGTCAATGCAGGAAAATCTTCAAGGACTGGGTAAGTATCATATGTCCAGATTGGGGGGGGGGGGCAGTGAGCCCATGCGGGGTGCCAGAGCAAGGCTGGATTCACCAGCTTTCTGGCACAAGACGAGGGCAGCTGCAGTCCCTGCTTCCCTCTCCAGTGAGCACCAACCATTCAAAGAGAGCCATTGCTGATGGACACTGAGTTCCAAAGCAGAGGTTTCTGGGAAGACTCTTGCCCGAGTCTACAGGTAGAAAAGAAGGTCAAAATGAAATGAGTCTTAAGACCTCCCAAAAGCCTCCCGATGCATCAGACCTTTACTCAATTTGTGGTGCTTTTTGCCCCCTGCTTTAATCAGAACATTTTAGGAAGGAAGGAAATAGGAGAAGCCATAATAGAAGGAATTAAAAGTAATTTGGTCTGATGCAAATAGAAAGTCCGGGCCTACCACTAACTAGTTGAGCATGATTTGGCAAGCTCCTTTCGAGTCACAAGGCAAAAATCCCTGTACCATCCTCCCTGCAGGAGAAAGGGAGAAGATTGAATAAGAACACATGTGAACATGTTTGGAGAAGTCCTAAAATATAAATGGGAAATTCTCAGCTACCTCAGATGAGCTATTAGGAGGTATTCTTGAGAATCATAGTGGAGTGGAAAACATGTCTTGAGTCTTGCCTCCCAGATCACATAGTAAAGATGTTTAGCGAAGATTTTCTGGGAAAGGATTCCATAGCAGGACTCAGGAAAAGAAGTAGGATCAGGAAGCCACTTGCCAATTTGTGGGGCTCTGAAATGTTCGATTTAAAGAAGTACCATTCTCCCACAGTCCATCAGCATTTCAAAATGTTGTCCCTTTCTCCTAAAGACCTGAAAGCCCTGAACAACTGTTCTTTCTGCCACGAGGCTGGGCAGCTGGGGCAAGAGATCAGGAAGCTACAGGAGGAGCTGGAGGGGCTGCAGAAGATGCTTCTTGCTCAGGAGGTCCAGTTAGACCAGACTTCTCAGGCCCATGAGCTGCTCTCCACCACCAGCAGCCAAATCTCCCAGGAGATGGGCAGTTGCGCCTTCTCCATCCACCAAGTCAACCAGTCTCTGGGACTGTTCCTGGTGCAGGTGAGGGGCTGGCAGGCCACGACAGCCAGCCTGGACCTCTCTCTAAAGGACCTCACCCAGGAGTGTTACGATGTCAAGGCTGCCACGCACCAGATCAACTTCACTGTGGGGCAGACTGCCGAGTGGATCCATGGGATCCAGCGGAAGACAGATGAGGAAACCCTCACCCTCCAGAAGATGGTCACTGACTGGCAGAACTACACCCGGCTCTTCAGTGGCCTGCGTACCACCTCTTCCAAGACTGGAGAAATGGTGAAGAACATTCAGGCCACCCTGGGGGCCTCCTCGCAGCGCATCAGCCAGAACTCCGAAAGCATGCACGACTTGGTGCTGCAGGTGATGGGCTTGCAGCTGCAGCTGGATAACATCTCCTCCTTCCTAGATGACCATGAGGAGAACATGCATGATCTCCAGTACCACACCCGCTATGCTCAGAACCGTACAGTGGAGAGGTTTGAGTCGCTGGAAGGACGCATGACTTCTCATGAGATCGAAATCAGCACCATCTTCACCAACATCAATGCCACTGACAACCACGTGCACAGTATGCTCAAATACCTGGACGACGTGCGGCTCTCCTGCACACTGGGCTTCCACACCCACGCGGAGGAGCTCTACTACCTAAATAAGTCTGTCTCCCTCATGCTGGGCACCACTGACCTACTCCGGGAGCGCTTCAGCCTGCTCAGTGCCCGGCTGGACTTCAATGTCCGCAACCTCTCCATGATCGTGGAGGAGATGAAGGCTGTGGACACGCAGCATGGAGAAATCCTTCGCAATGTCACCATCCTGCGCGGTAAGGTGGGGCAGGCTGGGCAGGATTGCTCCCACACTCCCGAAGGCCTTTGGTCATCTTACCGGATGCAGAAGCACCACATTTTAGTGGTGCTAACACAGTCTTGTAGCAAATGTCCAGGACAGTAGATAGCCTTAAGGTGTCCTTGCAAATGTCTTTTGGGAGGGAAGTACAGCTCCCACCATTGCCTACCATACATCTCTGGATTTTTATGTATGTATTTATTCAGTTGGTTCCACACAAAGAAATAGGGAGGACTTGTAGTTTGGAAACTTCCCACTCTTGTATTTTTCCATTCCTGTTCCCTCCTCAATGTTCTCATCTGCCCATTCAGCCACCTGCCCCTCCCTGAGCTATCACTCTGATCAACTGTTCTCCATGTGCCCATGTTTGGGTCAGAGTTCTCCAGGGAGCAGAACCAGTGAGGTATTGATAGGTGATAGACGGACATATAGGTAGGTAGGTAGGTAGGTAGGTAGGTAGGTAGGTAGATAGATAATTGGCTTATACTTTAGTTTGTTAAAGCTAAAAAATCCAAATCTGCAGAGCTGATGCCCCAGTCAGAAATCCATTATGTGGGAAGAGCTCTCTGAGTCCAGGGAAGGTCTACTCATTTAGGCCTCCCACTGGATGAGATCCACCCACGTTAGGAAGGGCAGTCTGTTCCACTCAGTCTATCAGTTTAAATGTCAGTCTTTTCCAAAGTGATGCTCATTCATGCAAATGAATGATTGACCAAAACTTGTCACCATGGCCTTGTCAAAGTGACAATAAAATTAGTCATCACAAGTCCATCCCTTGTTAACTTGGCACTCATGCATTTTTCCAAGTACCACCATGCTTACTCTCCAAATAAAGATAACAGTGCCATGGCTCTGCCTAACATAACGCAACTGTCCTGTGGACTCCAAAATGCACTCATCATTTCCACAGAGAAGACTGAATGGCCTCGGACGAGTTTTACTCTTCTCCTTCAGTCCTGTAACGCAAATTCTATGATGTAAGTTAGCATTGCATAAATAGCATCGTACGAAGTCAACAGATTTTAAGGGACACAGGATAAAGCGAAAAGGGAGTAAACCAATTTGTTTACTAGATACACACACAGAGATGCATTCATAACAGAATAAGGGGAAAGCGCTCATGATAATTGCAGTCCTTATTTCTGTAACTGGTGATCACTTATGGCTACCCTCCTCCACTTCTCATTGCAAATCCTCTTTGCTCTCAGGAAGCACCCCTGTGAGTTGTGACTCTGTTCTAAAGGTTCTGGGCCATTCACCTTCGCGACTGGGTTGGGCTGTTGATTTCCAGTTGAACTTGATCACTGGACATGCCAGGGCATCTCTTGCACTTCAAGTGTACTCTTCCTCACCTCCACTGGGGAGTGGCAGGGCAACTTCTCCTTTGTATTCAGAGTCAATCACTCAAGCCAGCCCGGTGGTTCCTGTCTTTTCCTGCCGATTCAGTCATGAGGACTCCAAAGTGGCCAGGTAGCAGCCTTGACATCCTATTCCACGGAGTCACCATTATGTCTCCTGGTGGAAGCTCTCTGCCTGCTGACCTGAGACTTCTAACTCAGCAGAACATAAGCAGAAAGAGGAAGCCATAATTTTATCAGTGGGTCACTAGCTAGAGTAGTAGGTGGCGCTACTCACATTACCTCTCCTTGATTCCTGGACATGCGAATCCTGGCTGTAGAAGTCATGCAGTATACTGGGTGCTGACTCAGAGCAAGTACAGCCTTCTGGAGAGCCTTGCCCTGAGTCTGCAACGTGTGGCCACCTACCTGTTGTTGTGTCTCAGTCTCCAAAAGGCAATTCTATTGTTCTAGTGAGCCGTTTACTTCAGGATGATGAGAGATGTGGTAAGACTGGTGAATTCTGAGCATGAGCCCAAGGCCACAATTCATTTACTGTGAAAGGAATTCCTTGGTCAGGAGCAGTGCTGTGCGAATACCGTGATGGTGGATTAATGAGCCATGTAACTCTGTGGATGGTAGTTTTACTTGAAGTATTGCATGCAAGGAAGGCAAATGCATATCAGAATAAGCATCTTTATTCCAGTAAGAAGAAAACATTGCCCTTTCCACGAGGAAAGTGGTTCAATGTAATCACATGCCATGCAGGCGGCTGATCACACTGGGGAATGGCATCATATGAGGGACCAAGAATTATCTGTGCTCCTGGCAGCTTGGACAGTAGCAGAGGCCACAGTCAGGTTGGCTTTGGTGAGTGGAGGTCCCCGTTGATGAGGTCGTGCATAACCTCTATCACTGTCATCACATCCACTTCATTCATGAGGCCACAGGCTGATGACACAGAATGGATCATTCTACACATTTCATGATTAAAATTCTCCCTTCTGGGGTTACTCTTGGTGGGCATTGATATGGGATACAAATAACTTTATAACTTTTGCCCATTCAGAGAGAGATCCCCATACCTCATGCCCCAATTTCCTCATCACCAATTTCCTAATCATGTTCCTTCCAAGTCCCTGCCCATGCAGCCTAATTATTAGCCAAAGCCCAAGAATCAGAGTATAAATGCACATCTGGCCACTTCTTCTGTATGAAAAGAATAACCAAATGCAATGACCAGGGTTCTGTCCACTGAGAGGTTTTCCCTTTACTCCACCCTTCTGGGATGTCCCAGAAAGGGCTGTAATGTTGCAACTGTCCATTTTTGGGTGGCATCTGCATCTCACACAGAATTATATGTAAGCCAGGCTCAGCTTTTTTTCTTTTCTTTTCTTTTTTTTTTTTTTTTTTTTTTTTTTTCTCATCTGATTGCAGGAAAACCCAGGGGGCCATAAGTGCCACAAAAGTGGGGACCGAGGGCCACTTCTCCATGCAATTTACTTTTACCTTGAGGTCCTGCTCAGGCCTGATCACATATATACCACATCCATTTGATCATTGAGCATGGCTGTGCATGCCCAGTTTATGGCTTGGTGGGTCAACTACCCAAGTCATGATGGGCGGTTCAGTTCACAAGGTAGTTTGATGGCCTGCACACGTGTTCAGTCTCCAGTGAGGTCCCATAGCATCCCAAGAGCTGCTATCTGTGGAGAGCAGTTATTTGTAGAGAATGGCAACGCATTTCTCCAGAATCCTAAGAGACTGTCCTATGAGTCACCCACAGAGCCCTGCCAAAGGCTGCAAACAGCATCCCTATCTTCCACTAATATTTCAGGTACCACTCAGTCTACTATGGGCCAAGTGGTAGGGCAGCTTGTGCAGAAGTCCGGACCTATTATAGAGCTTTCTCCCATACCGTGTCTCACTCAAACACAGCAGCTTTTCAGACCACTAGGTACATTGGCTGTACTAACATGCACAGATGAAGATGTTGTTTCCAAAATCTATAGAGGTGGGGCCGGGGACATGGCTCAGTGGAATAAGCGCTTCCCTGGCAAACCCAAGGGTCTGAGTTCAATCCCTGGTTCTGCCAAAAAAAAAAAAAAAAAAAAAAAAATCTATAGAGGCCCAGTGGAATTAATCTCTGCAATCCTCCAAGCATGCAGTCCAGTCTTGCTTTCTGTTCAGTATTTTCCAAGGTAAATAGCTTGGCCTTCTCACCATAATAGCCCTCACCCGGAGCTGGTGAGAAATCACCACAGCATGAACTTAGGGGCCCAGCGCTCCCGTTATGATTCAGACAGAGCTGAGCTTCACTGACCACCCAACCCTTGATAGCCCCTACTCCAGCTATTGGCCCAGGTGATGTTTGGGACTCCTGGAATCAGCATCCACTCAGAGCCAGCTTCTACCAAGGTGACTGTGCATTGGGAAGAGGAAGTGGTCAGACTGCATGCTTCTATTCGGTATCTAAAAGATTCCTCCACTGGATTCCTTTACACCAGGAATTTGGTTGATTCCTTAAAGCCAACCCCCAGAAAGTGTGTGTCTTCGTGCAAAGGATGCTGAGCCTGAAAATTTAGCAGATCTTGGCTCTAGAGATTAGGACAAGTGGCCACAGTGACCTGGCAGTTCCAAAAGTTACAGTTTACATTTGAGAAGCGAAGCATCTTGGCTGAGTCACCCAGGAAGCCCCAAGAAGATTGCAGGAAGCCCCGGGATCCGACAGCTCTCCCCTCCACAGAGCTCAGGCTCGGAGCTTGCCTGTGAGTCTCTGTTTCTCCTTGGCCATTTAGTCCCAGGCCTGTGTTGACTCCACTTTCTGTCCCTCAGAGTTTCTACTCCGCTGAGTACTTTTCTTTACCTAGATTGGTGGGGTGTGTGCAGAAGAGTCTGTTTGCTTCTTTTATTTTTGCACCAGCACCAGGCACTCTACTGAGTATTTCTCTGGGAACTGTCGCCTTCCCACGGTTTCCACAGCTCACAGTCAACTGTGTCTGAAAATATAATATAGGCAATTCCATATTTTAAGAAAGGGAGACCACAGTCACATAACTCCTGCAACAGTATACTGTTGTAATTGTCTCACCGTAAGTTGTCGCTGTTAATCTCTTCTCATACTTAGAAATGAGGCTTTATCACAGTGGGCACATATAAGAAGAGACTTAGTGTCTGCGGGGCTGGGTACCATCTCCGGCTTCAGCACCCATGCGGGGCCTTGGGACGGAAGCTCTGGAGGAAAGGAGGAAACTGCGGTACGGGAGAAAAGGCCCATGTTGGTGTCTCTTTTATAGAAAGGTAACCTGAGACGGGGAATGTGTGGGTAAGGAGTGAGTTCAAGGTCAACACTGGATTTAAAATCCTGACCCCCCAGCACAGTTCTTAGATAGGAGACGGAGATGCAGAGACCCCCACAGACATTTCTGCCTGGGTCCTGCTTAGGTACAGGGTGTGGGGCCGACCATGCAGGAGCAGACAACGTCCAGGGCAGTGAGCAGAATACAGGCCTGGAGAAGCTTTGCTGCTCTCCTGATCATGGCAGGGTTCTCAGCAGAGGGCTTCATCTTAGCTGAGACATTCAGCCTCCCGTGTTTACACTGTATCGACGGTCGCAATTCCTGCTGGTCACGGAGATCAT